TTATCTGTTTTTTTATGGTGTTAATAATTTATTTGTCTTTCCTTGGCCTCTGGAGAATAGTTATGTTACCTGTGTGGTGTATATATGAGACAACCCTCAACATACGTCGATAGCACCACATTTTAAAAGCCTCCAATCGTTTTATGGTATCTTCTGTAAGGCTCCAGCTTTCTACTCCATAGAGAATGACACTAAAGACGTAACATCTAAGAATTTTTATGCGTATATTGATACTTAAAAATAAATTGCAGAGAATCTTCCTAAGGCTGTTGAAAGAGCTTCTGGCTTTTTCAATACGAGTTTTTCGTAGTTGTGATCCCAAGTATCATGCTTCTACAACGTTATCCATCATCCTTTGGAGCCCCTGCGCACTATCTGCCAGCAACACTGTATCGTCTGCATATCTAATGTTGTTTATAAGTTGGTCATTTACAGCAATCCCATCTTCTGATTCGTCCAAGGTCTCTCTATAAAGATGTTTTCAGAGAATATGTTAAATAATGCCGTTGAATATGCAACCCTGTCTAACTTCTTTTTCGACTGTGAAGATCTCGGACAGTTAATTTTTTAATCGTACTGTTGCTTTTTGTTGAAGGTATAACTTTGAGATCAGTCTTATATCCTTACCATCGAGTCCTGATGTTTTGATTAGTTTCTCATGTGGGACTTTATCAAATGCCTTCTCGAAATCAATGAAATATGGATACACAACGCAGTTGACATCCCTGGCTCTCTGTATTGCAAACTAAAAAGTGCTTCCCTCGTTCCGAGTCCTGGTCTGAATCCAAATTGAACATCACTCAGTTGTTCTTCTAATTTGGTGTATATGTGCGAGTGAGGAGTACTTTAAGTACATGGCTCAACAAATTAATGAATCTATGTTTTTCACATTTTCTAGCGTTGGTTTTTTAGGAAGTAGAATGAATATTGATAGTAGGCAGTCTTTTGGTAAGTAACAAGTCTCGTAGATGTTGTTGAATAGCTTCGTAAGAGCTGTGATTTGGTGTGCCTCTAATAGCTTTAAAATTTCACCATGCACCTCATGAGGTCCTAGTGATTTCCCATCTTTAATCCGCTTAATGGCCATAATTACTTCATCTCTTTTATATACTATTTACGAGTACTAGAAACCAATTTGCTAAGGATTTTTGCTTAGTTGAGGAGATATGTTGTGGAATGCAATTTTAGATTCCCCATGTTTTTAATTACATCTTTATCAACGTCTGTTTTGCCTTGCAATTCTTAGAAGGCACAGATTAAAGCAGAAATCTGAATTTGGTTTCGACAATTAGTTTCCGGATTTATGATCAGATGTCGCTATTGCGTCCATATCGAAACCATTTTAGTGTTGCTTCTACTATGACAGAAAAGATTGTCTTCACGTTCAGAGCGTTTGTAAATAGCCGCTTCGTCAATTTCTTTTAGGGTGAAATACATATAAGCGGATATACAGATGCACTGTATTTGAAATTAAATCTTAACTGTCTTTCCCTTCCATCATTTATGTTGACAAAAAAGGAAGACAGTTACTTCATTGGTTTATTGAATACGTTTCGCTTTTTTTTTAATTTTCAAAAGCTGCGTTATTTTACTGCAAATATAATTTAGAATAATTATAATATATCGTATAATTAGTAAACGACTACAATGCTGGATTAATATACTTACAAACAATTTGTAGTTTCCCAGATGTTCTAGAAACTGTAAAGTTACTCAACATATGGAGCAACTATCTTAGCAAAAACACAACTAACTACAAAGCAATTTTACCGACTGCTTCATTTGGTTTTCGTATGGTGATAACCAAAAGACACTGCGTCTTGCTTGTTTAGATACTAAGAGCATCCGCACATGTGTTTATTCTATTTCTCAGTGGGTGGTCATTCCTTCACAGTGCAAACTGTTAAAAAGAAATTGGTAAAAAAATATACGGAGAACAAAAAGGCATCAAAAAAAAGACATAACCTGAAAAGGGTCAAAAACCGCTATTTTTGCTCTTTTGGGTTAGGGTATATCAGAAACCAGAGCCAATTTGACAATTTTGAGCTCAGATTCTGATTTAACGCACAAAAATCCTTCTCAAAAGTATATTCTAATCTCTGGGTGTTAACATTGGTCAAATTTTGTAGGACTGTGTTATTTTTATTTCTTTAAAATGCTTTAACACATATCTCAGATACACTTCTAACGTCCTGTACACTGGTTTTTTTTATACCCGTAATACGGGAAAGTTTTGCGGGTAACTTTAAGTTTCTTGGTAATGGGTTGTAAATTATTGATTTATTTTACTAGTTATATTTTTTTAATTTTACATATGAGCTGGTGAGAATCAGAGTGGTGTAAGTCAGTTTTTAATCAATTTGAGATTTTTAAGTGTTTGTTAGACGCTGTACAAAAAAATCCCCTTATAGTTTAAAGCAAAAAAAATTGCCTCTTTGTTATCACAAATTGTTACTTTTTTATTAATATAGGTTTTATATACCTATTGTTTACCATAAAAAAATAAAAAGGGTTTAAATGACTAACAGCACTACCATCCTAAACAACAATTAGGGATTGAATAGAATAACTGACTTACCTTGTTGAAGATTAAACTTTATTGCTTAAAAATTGACTTTTACACAGAAACAGTACACAGCATCGCTTTGTAGAAATCTTGTTAGTGCTAAAGCCATTTTAATGTTGCGGTTTTGACCAGTACAAGTATCGCTGTAAATTATAACATTTTTCTTGTTTGGAGCATTTAGTTTAAGATGCTTTATAATACAGAATGAAACTTCTTGAGAGCCTCTGGAAGCGATAGTTTCATCCCAGAAATAAAATACGCCAGCTTCTGTGTCAAAGTCATGCACTCCAAAGTTATAGCAGTACCTACATAATATTTCGCTTATAATAGTCATCTGAAACAGATAACACTGGAAACGGCAAAGCTTTCTGTAGGTCAACACTACATACATAACGGTCCTGGTTTCTTTTCGCGTTTTTCGCATCAGTAGTTATACATTCCCCTGCTAGCTCAGCTTTCCGTAAATGGAGTTAATGGTCAGTGTTAAGTTAAGATAATTTATCCCTACTCAATTCAGGATTGCTTATTTTAATTTTGAATATGTCACATTTTTTGCAAGTGTCTTTTTTTGGAATGTAGAAGTGAAGGTTAAATTTAGTGTTGAAAACATATCGATAAAATGGTCCTTAACCGGTGATTTCTGCTCTTCTTGGCACTTTTTCTCGTACAATGAATACATCTTTCTAATATTTAAATTATCACTAAGGTACCTTCGGTGTTCATATTTCTCCCTGCACACTGCAACTGATATATCTTGATTTGTTTTTACTTAGTATTTGTTTGCCCCACCCCTTAAAATACCACCCTCTTTACGGGGCCTTCTTTGCTTAGAGTTCTTTGAATCAGTGCGCAAATATAAGTATTTTGCCGCTTAAAATTCCCTAGTTCCCAGAAAGACTTAAACATAGATTGTCGTTCTTCAGTTGTTACCTTCTCATGACACGCCATTTTACAATGACATGGGGTGTTTGAAAATGTTTTATTTGCTATTACTTGACCATTTACATTCAAATATTTCTCACCAGAATTCCTATGTTTCTTAGCAATGCTTTTCTTATGACATTCTGGCTTCCTGAGCCTTTTTCTAGTTTTTACTTTAGCTTGAGGATAGATAAACTCATTATTTTCATCTGACTGATTATCTGATTCGGGTGTACTAGAAACTAATATGTTTCTTCTTCCTACAGGTTGAGTCTTTGTTCAAAAGGAGTAACCCTGTTATCTTCATTGTAATCTGGATCCCTATCAACATCATCGGTTGATTCAATAGAGTTTGATTCACTTGGTAAATATAACCTGTTATAGGTTTTCAGTATACGCCTACTCATGTTTTAGGTTATTTAAATTTCTTTTGTTTTATAAAAATGCATTTTCGCTTGAAATAACGGTATTGTTGTAAAAGTTAGTTCTTAACACAGGCCTAACCTCAAAATGTCAACAAGGATACTTTTCTCACATTTCAGTTATAAAACAAGATTTTCTTCAATTTAAAAACAAATTACTGTGACAGAATATCAAATATGTTTGTTTATATACCACCAATAATATGTAATAATACATATATCACAAAATAACACTCACTGATCACTTAGCAATATAACCTTGCATGTAAACAAATTCATCATCTGACCACTCTCATCTCTCATTCTAAACACATTGGCAGTTAGTGTATAATGACAATGATGTGCTGCTCCCAGTGGCCAGTGAATAAACAATTGACTTACTTCTTTCTCAAACTAAACATATGAGCCATTCGGATAATAAATATTGACTTAACTCTAATTTTTACCTGTTCATATATATCTTCTACGAATTTATAAATCAGTTGTTTGTGTCGAATGTTTCTGATGCACTGAACTTTAAATTTTATTATTAGGTTGTTTTAAATTGTTTTACGCACATAATTACATTACATAATATCATAAATTAATTGTTTTACGCACGATCATACACGCCTTACAACCTGAGTACCGTTTGAACCTGAGTGCCATTTGAAATGACTTCCTCCTGCTAATTATTCGCTCAACCCTTGAAAAACAACAAAAATTGGGAAGCTTACCACCATACGAAGTCAGAATTCCTTTATACCTTTTAATAATTCATTTTGATAAACAGAATCCGAATAGCGATTCCCTTTGCTTGAACAGCATTTTTCAATCTTGAAGCAGTGCCTTCTCATTTTGAAAATTGCAAAAATAACTCCACTTAAACTGCTGTGAACAACATATAGCGAGCTTATTTTGATGCGTGATATCCTTTAGATTTTAGATAAAACTGTCCTTAGGGGCACCATGCACCATCTATACGTCTATTAAATGATTTATTTGATTATGCTTACCAAGAGCGCCGGATTGGAAAAAAATATCAAGAATCATTTGTAGAATTTATGATACGAGCATAATTAAAGGAGTAACCCAATAGTAAAACACAAATACTAAAGTGAACGTATTTATTTAGAATACACAGTTTAAAATAAAAGGTACAATGTAAATGCAACTCACTATATTATACAATCCAACAAAGCATATAAGTGCCAATTTGAAACGCTCTAAAACAAGCAACAAAAACGCCGTTTATATTACAAATATCACTAGATTGTTACATAATCCCTTTTCATCCTGTCTATGTGTAGATTCTACTAATGATTTTAATTTTATATGATATTAAGGCATGTATATTAATTGTAATGTAAGTTATTTATGTTACTAGACCTAAATCACAATGCATTGCTTTTGTATCAATTAATAAATTGAGATGATAAAGGATTATAAACAATGTGTCACTTTCATTTATATATTTTTATTAATTTCAACTTTAAATAGCCTAAATTTAAAACAGCATTAATTAATATAATTTATTTAATTAACATTCTCTTTAAGAATTATAAAAACCCAAAAACTACTCTAATATAAATAATGTGTTGTTCATATCTACAAATTTTCAATTTATCTTCAAATAAATAATAAATAATCCAAAGATATATATAGATGTAAATAATTCGTAAAATGCATAAATATAATGAATTCATAACTATGGTGTTTATATTTCTTCACGTAAAAGTATATACTTAAATTGTAAGACCATAAAATTCGTCTAAATGTACATTTTTAACATTAGTGAGCCTATAAGTAAAGTAAACACAAAGAACATATCGTTTAGAACCATTTTATTTGTCGATAAGGACAACAAAGCTGTCATATTCGAAAACTTATACCGTCTTGCATATAAAAGTACAAACGGTTATATATCGAAATACTGTGTGAAGCCGTATATAGTTAAAAAAATCAAGTCGAGTACAAAGAAATTATGTAGATGCCCAATAAGCAGAACTTAAGCTAGAAGACAAAAGAGAGAAAGATAACATCCCACCAGAGAAAGAACTAATAAAGTTAGTCAAAAACTAACACTACTTACCTGGAGCAGATAGCCAAGCTCTAAAGCATGCCGCAGAAAAATAACGCATTCTATTAGACTAGTAGTATTGATCAGAGGACTAGAAGTTTCAATTTTATTATACATATTCACAAGAAATGAGATGAAACAACCGGTGACAACTACAGAGAAATAACACCCCTAAACGTGACCTCAATTTTTTAAATTCATGTGTTCAATTATTATGCAGATGTTCCAATATAAAACAAAATCAATGACTTTCAACAAAATACGATAAACGAACTATTTAAAATAATTAGAATTTTACGACAATTTTCAGCATGAATGCTGGTTGTTTATTTTCCTAGTCATTAAATCTCTGACGTGTAATGATACTTGCTTTACTATTACTGAACACCATTATATCTATAAAATGACACAGAAACGTCATTTGGGTGAGATACGCTGAATAACGATTTTTGGTCTCAAGTTACGATTGTCTCCTCCGACCGCGAAAGCTCGACAATCATTCGATAGCGTATCTGCAAACTTTTAATTACTGCAAACATTAGTTAGTGCTATCAGATATTGAGATACAATTCTGCAACTGTTTCATTGCCATGAATTACTTAGACAATCACACTAAACTGGTCGTTTTAACTACTGAGCGACGAAACCATAATTAACGTTTGATAAATAAAAATAGGGCTAGAATAGTATAACGGTTTCCTTTTTATTGCGTTCAAAGTATTTATTTAATATTGACTGACTTGCAACCTTGCGTAGGCAAAGTGCCGTAATAAAACCGTAGATTTGTAGCATAGCGATCTGAAATAAAATGTGGTTGTTGCTGGGTCAGTATAACACTTGCAGTTGCAAAGTCATGTAGTCGGTGTCACGTCACCTCGGTAAATCTGAAGTTATTGTTGCATTTTAATGTTTTCGAAGTGGAAATCAAAACGTCAAATTAAACTTTTATCTGAAATTGTGGTTAATTCCCATTAAAGATATTAAATAAACATCTGGGTTTAAACGTGGTTTTACAGGCAACTTAAATTATGATAAGGCAGACGAAAAGACCTACTTTTTCGTCAATAGTCGTTTACTCCTCAAACCACGGATATGATTTCAAGCTTTACATTCATTCAGTGGCGTACCTATGCGTGTTAGTATGATAAAAGTGTTGTATTTGTACAAATAACAACTCTATAAATGTCTTCACCACAGTGCAATAGCAAAACTTATCAATATATTTTGTGAATCATTCGAGATTATTTATTGAAGATTAAAGCATTTATAACTTTTATTTAATGGGGAAAATACCGTCCAAACTGAGCATGGCTCAAAAAGTGATACTGTGATTCTGCTCATCGAATACAACCATTAAGCGATGGTTTGCTGAATTCAAACGCTGTCGTACTGACATCGATGATGCTGAGAGCTCCGGAAGCTCAAGTGATGCAGGAATATATGGGGATGGAAACAGGTTTAAGATCTAAAAGGTCTACTGTCGATCATCTTTTTACTATTACACAAATAATAGAAAATAAAATGGTATTTAATCAAGAAATGGGCATTTTATATGACGATCTGAAGAAAGCCTATGACAGTGCCCCCCCACACAAAACTATAAGAAATCCTAGAAAGTACGCATTACGCTAATAAATTCAGTGAAAGAGTTATACGAAGACGCCATTATAAAAGTGAAACCGTCAATTTGGGGTAAACAAAGGTAAAAACCAGGCATGTTGCCTCTCACCTATTTCAAATATACTTGGAACATGCCTTACAACTCTGGAGAAGAATGCCAGAATGTCAGATAATGGGTACACGAAGAGATTGACATTCTCAAACCCATAGGGATCTTGGGTCATGATGCGACCCTGGATGAAGCAATAAAAGACTGAAATACGCAAGGAAGAAAAGCTATAAAAATGATAATCGGGTTCGAACAAAAATATCTCGAAATATGAACAAAAGAAAAGGATATATCAGACTATTATACACAGTATTGTCACATATTATTCCGAAGTTGGATCACTAACCACTGGGGGAGGTCAGATAGAAAATATGTCAAGAAAGAAATACCAATGAGGATATTCACAGATTTATAAAAATTAAAAACACAATGATTGACCACATATAATACAAATAACTGAAGTGGTCATGTGTAGTAATGGCAGAAAAGTGATTAAAATAAAACTTTTTCCATACAAAAATGTTTTGGTTATAATCTGGTGATAAGGAAAATAAACGTACATTTTGGAGATTTGCAAAATGTAGTTATTTGAGAAACTCAAGTAAACGATGAATTGTTTTTTTTTTAATAATATTTTCACATTTTTTCATTAATAGTTCGAGAACTTTTATTTTTCTACATAGAAATGTATGCATGGAATATGTTTTAGAAGTCTATATTCTCACATTATCCAAGATATTCAAAAATATGGAACGGTTTACTGATTAGAGAGTACGGAAGTCTTTTTTGGAGTACTAAATGTCAAAGTAAATTTTACTTTTTGTTTGTAATAAAATAATTCAGTGAAATAAAATAATTCACTGTTTTTCAATTCTCATTTTTTTTTTATTTTCAGTTGTAAAACGATCCATCAATTTTGAATAGTTCACTGGAATAAAAAAAGGAAAACTTGTCTAAAACATTATTTTAAAAAACTTCAAATATAGCACATACTAATTAAAAACATCACTTGCTGCAAAGATATGTCAATAGGCTAACCAGGGATGATGTTTCAGCGATTCTTTCGATCTGTCTCCGTAATCGTAAAGGATTTCTTCGCCACATTTGATGTCGTCTTTCGCTAAAAGTACTAGTCGGGGTTTATTGTCGATCACAATCGTTTTGGTGGCGAGATTACCGTTTCTCGAATGATTGACGAGACGACCAATCTTGCCTGATTCGGAAGTGGCATCGACACTAAACGGAAAAACAAATTCAAGATATTAAAACCTAAGATTATTGTATATTTTTTGGAGATCGGGTATCGCTATATGAAACCCTAATATTAAATGAAATGAATAAGGCATGGTTTTCCATAATCAACATCACAAGTAAACGTTTAGATAATGTTAATATAGTAAATGTAGGCATTATTCGCAACGTGTTATTATTTTTTTACCTAATTAAGTGTGCTAAAGTAAACAATTAATAAAAAGTTTTGTATGTTTATAAAATAAAGTTAATAAAGTGCTTATTGAAAATGGCAAATTTGCCGAAACGTTTAAGCAATAGTTAAATAGTTTTATTTACAACAGACCAACAAACCCAGGAATGGGAAAACTACATTTCTGAATTATTTGAAGATGAGAGAGTAGAACACTATACACCGATTGCTATATCAGGTCCATCTATAACAGAAAGTGAGGTTACACATTCAATACAAACGGCAAAAAATGGAAAAGCACTTGGCCCCGATGAAGTAAGTGCTGAAATACTAAAGTTTTTGGGAGAAAATGGAATTAAAGCTCTGTGTAATCTCTTTAACAGAATTTATTACACTGGGATATTACCAACTGATTGGTTAAAAAGTCGACATTTGTCACAATACTTAAGAAACATCGTCCAAAGACATGCGGTAATTATCGGACAATAAGTCTGATAAGTCACGTTTTGAAGATCTTCATACACAGCAGAATTTACACGCTGTTAGAGGACAGAATTAGCAATACTCAATCTGGGTTTAGGAGTGGCTTGGGTACAAGAGAAGCCTCGTTTAGTATACAGGTGACAAAATCCGACATAACAAAATGCTAGAAATATTGGAAACAACTGGATTGGACGATAAAAATCTACGAATAATTACAAATCTATACTGGCATCAAGTGGCAAGAATAAAGGTTGAACAAGGCTGTATATTGTCGCCTTTACTTTTTAACTTATATTCGGAGGAAATATTTAAGGAATTAATGGAGACAACCGAAGGTATTATTGTGAATGGAGTAACCGTCAACAATATTAGATATGCCGACGATACCTTAGTGCTTGCTAATTGCGGAGAAGACCTTCAAAATTTAATGAACAAAATAAAACAGACTTGTGATCAGGATGGATTAAAACTCAACGTTAAGAAAACTAAATATATGATAGTTAGCAAAACAAAATTATATACAGGATGACGGTATAAAAGTCGGAGATGCCACACTGTACAAAATAGAGAAACTCGTGTATCTCGGCAGTAATATCAATGAGAGCTGGGATCCAACCGCAGAAATTAAAAGCCGAATAGAACAAGCCCGAGCTGCGTTTGTAAAAATGAGAAACGTACTTTGCAGTCACGATCTTAGCATTGACCTTAGAGTTCGAATGACATCTTGCTACATCTTTCCTGTTCTGACTCTAACTGAGGCCATCCTTAAACGCTTGACAGCCTTTGAGATCTTGGTATACTGACGAATAATGAAAATAAGCTGGGTCGACAGAGTTAGAAATGAGGAGGAGGTCCTTAGACGGCTGAACCAAACAACACAACTGGTCAATATAATAAAGAAACGCAAGCTGGAATACTTCGGTCACATTATAAGACACCCTGAAAAATATGATCTTTTACATCTGATCATTCAGGGAAAGATCCAAAGTAATCGTGGTCCTGGTAGAAGAAGAACATCATGGCTGAAAAATCTAAGGCAATGGTATGGAAAATCAACTACATCGTTATTTAGAGCTGCTGTCAATAAAGTCACGATAGCGAAAATGGTAGCCAACATGACGATCGATAACAGTCATGGAACTAGAAGAAGAAGAAATGCTGTATTATAGGCCTATTCCATTTGCTTCCATTGATTTCTACTCTTGGCAATTCTCATCCACTGTTTGCCCGCGACTTGTTTGGTATCATCTGTCCACCTCTTCTGTGGTCTGCCTACTCCTCGCATGTTCTCTCTTGGTCTATAGTTTGTTAATCTCTATGTCCATTTTTCGGGATTATCTCGGGCAACATGTCCGACCCATTGCCACTTGAGCCTTGCTATATGTTATGGTATATGATGTTCTGCGACATCAGTAATATTTGTTCTTTCACGAATGTCGATATTTCGAATCCTGTCTCTTAAACTAATCCCTCTACATCGCTCTTTGGGTTGTACTGAGCTGCTCCAAGGTTTTCTTTGTAAAGGCCATGGTCTCCAGTCCATATGTAGTTCCAGGTAAGATACATTTGTCATAAACTCTACGTTTGAGACACATTGGTGTATCTTTATTCTTGTGGAAGTCCAAACGTGAAATACATTTAATTCAATTTGCTGCCATTTACCTCCACTTAATTATATTTTGTGTAGTGTTTACGCGATATATTTTTTGGTTAAGCGATTAACACCGTCGTGAAAACAAACTAGAACTGATGTTGGACCGCAAGTCGGAGCGTGAGTGAAGACGAATATCCAACTAGTAGTCCTACTAAGTGGGACCGCAAGTTGGAACGTGAATGCCCAGCTTAACAAAGATGGGCATTCACGCCCCCCCCCCTCCCACATTATGTTTTTACTTTTCACGTAATAGACAAAGATCACAATCGTGTTTGTTGACTTATTAAAAGAATGACATATAAAGCGAACTTACCAATACTGCTGATTATTATACTTAAAATAATACATGTAGCAACCAGTATTTTCATTCCTAGCGTATTTTTCTTCACGTGCCTTCGCTTCAATAGGATCAATGAGGTCTCCACTGTATTCTACTACGAAGTCGCCTCTGGAAAAATCTTTGGATGCTACTACACCTCTACCTTTACCGTCAAATATCCTAACCTACGATAGTGTATATATCAATAGACTATAACGCTACGAAACGATTTGGTTATACTTTCTACACGTATATATATATATATATATATATATATATATATATATATATATATATATATATATATATATATATATATGTATATATATATATATATATATATATATATATATATGTATATATATATATATATATATATATATATATATATACATATATAAACTCTTAAATATTGATTCTTGCAGATTTCCCCAATATTTAAGAGTTATATATATCGTCGTCGTCACAGCAAAACTCACTAAGTCCATTTTTGTCAAAATTGAGTTAAGTGTACTGATCGATTCACAATATCAATTTTCACAGTCTGGCAGATATCACTAAGTCCTACAAAGCATGTAGAGTTGGCTGTCTAAAGCATAGAATATACGTAAGTGCAAAATTACCATTTTGTTATCAGGCAGAAGTCACTAACTGGACGTAATGATGTTTGCCTGATTACGATGCGGCAGATACTAGTAAAGAGTATCAGTTAACGAACGATAAAATCAATCAGTTATTTTGTATTTGCTGTCTCTTTCTATAACAAACGTTTTGTTATTTATAGAAATAGACAGCAGATACAAAATAAGTGCTTGATATATCGTTCATGACTAATCTTTCATTTTTACGACTAAAGTGTGAGCCCATGTTGATTTGTGTAGATCGTAATTGTTGTGTTTTTTAGGAGTAACAATATTTTGTAAATTATTTTTTTACGATTTCTTTTATAGTGAAGTGCTAATAAACAAATCGAAAATGCAATCTAGTAGGGGAAAACACATTGCTAATCTTGCAATGGCTAACGAAAATTCCAAAACGACTATGAAGGTAGGAGGTTAGTAAACTTAGTTTCAAAATAGTTTGTAAATTTGTGTTTATAGGTAGAGGAAACAATATTAGACAGTACACCGTCGTCTTCGAAAAATCCTGTTTTACAAAATGATGACTATGATTGTTTCTCGTTAATGAATCGAACAGCAGCTACAGCAATATGGAATATACCAAGTACAAGTACCTCGTCTTGTGCTTCATACAGTAGTGAACAAAGAAGTATTACAGTCCAAAATAAAATAGTAATACTATCAGATGTCAAAATACAGGATAGTTTTGATACAGAGATAAAAAGTGCTGATAAGGTAAAGGTAGTCTAACTGTTAATCATGCTCTTTTGTGATTATTGTTCTATATTGAAGGTACCATTGAATCAACCACCAACAGTTATAGAAGCTGATCAAGTAGACAATCTACAAGAGTATCAACTTGATGACAACAGCGACGATGATAAAGATTTTAATCCACTGACTGAAGAGGAAGGCTCTGATTCTACAGATGATAACGGTAGTTATATGATTCTTTAGGAAATAAAAGATTCTTAACTTAATTTTTTTGTAGAAGTGCAAGAGACATGCAGGAAAATATGTCGATGGAATAAAGGAGATAAGTCGCAGTGGAAGCGTCATTTAATAAAAAAACGTAGAAACCTGGGTAAATTGCATGTGACAAAAGAAGGAGAATTCCCACCGAAAACTCCGAAACCTGTAAACTGTTCTCGTTGCAGATTTCACTGCACAGACAATTTTAGTGAAGAAGAAAGGATGCAATTGTGTTCCACGTACTGGAAACTTTAATCGTATAATCGAAAAAAAGAGTTCATTTTACAGAATATAAAAACACATACACCAAAAAGACAACGGCCCCGACAAGAATGTGCCATATCACGAACGATAAGCAAAGCGTTTTATTTTTTAAAAAATGCTGCTCAAATTAGAGTGTGTCAAAATTTTTTTCTAAAGACTCTCTCTATCAGTAATGGTCCTTTAAACAAAGCATGTGAGGGTAAGAATAACATAACAGGCTTATTTGAAGCCGATGATAAAAGAGGTAGACATGTACCTGCCAATAAAACAACCGAAGATGATATTAACTTTATTAAAAAGCACATCGAAAGTTTTCCACTAACAGAATCACACTATTGCAGAAAGTCATATAAAAGAAAATATTTGGAAGCTACATTATCTATCGGAAAAATGTATGCCTTGTATAAGGCACTATCTGATCAAAGTGCTCGCATACCAAAAAGTTTAACAACGTACAAGAGAATATTTGGTAAGGAATATAATTTGTCATTTTTTAAACCGCGCAAAGATCAGTGTGCCCGATGCAACAGATATAAATTAGCAACAGGTGAGGACAAAATAAATTTACAGCAAGCCTATGACGAACACAAACAGCGCGAAAAGGATGCCAATGCTGCTATGGACAATGATAAGAAAAGAGCAACTGAAAATCTTGATTTTGTCACTGCTACTTTTGACCTTCAAAGTGTGCTGCAAATACCAAGTAGTGATATATCACCCTTATACTACAGTAGAAAATTATCTGCCTTTAATTTATGCATTTATGAAGGAGCTCACCCAAATAATGCACACTGTTTTACCTGGACTGAACTTAATGGTGCCAGAGGGAGCTTAGAAATTGCGACATGTTTGTATAGCTATTTAAAAAACCTCCCTGCGAGGGTCACCGAAGTATCATTGTTTTCCGATACTGGTGGGGGACAAAACAGGAATCAATTTGTCATCGCAATGCTGTATTATTTTGTTCATGTCTTATCTGGCCACAATATTACTGTTCTCGAGCAGAAGTTTCTAGAGTCAGGACATACGATGATGGAATGCGACAGTATGCATAGCGCCATCGAGAGAGAAAAGAGGTATGTAGCAGTATATACGCTTCATGACTGGAAAAATATTTTTGTCAAAGCTAGGTCTAAACGAGGCATCAAAATGAAGGACCATTATGTAATCCATGAGCTACAATATTCAGATTTTATTAACTGGAAACTACTTGCAAAAAATATGGTAAAAAACACAAAACTAAATAAATCTGGTGAAAAAGTTAGGTGATTGCAAATAAAATGTTTCAGAGTGGAGGGGGAATATCCAGGAATTATCAAATATCGCTACGAGCACTACGGTCCCTACTTTGAACTAAGTATTTATGGACGAGGAAGACCTCCAACACAAGCCTCCCTATCACTTCAATAAGCTTACCTAGGTATGCGTCCAATTTCGTTAGCAAAATTTAATGATTTACAGAAATTATGCACTACCGACGTTATTCCTTTGGAGTTCCATGCTTGGTATTCGGCTCTGCCAACCTCCAAATCAGTTATTGACAGAAATACTGAGCCCAGTATTTATAGCGATAGTGAATCAGAGGGAAGCTTAGACGAACAGCAAATTTAAACTCACTAAATTTAGTGAGTTATTTTAATTTAAGTAATAAACAATGTTCATAATGTGTTCAACTAATTCACCAAACTTACCTTTTACCAACTTGCCAGAAATCACTAAGTCCATTAAATATTGCTTTTGACCAAATAACATTAATTTCAAAAAAGATGATGTATTCACATTTCAAAGCATTACTAGACGTGTACAATTGCATCGGTAATTTCCTTGACTTTTACAAGGATGAATTTTAGACAACAATTAAAACTAAAATGTTCGTTTTCTCCGATCTCTTATTTTGGACTTAATGACTTTTGCCGCGACGACGACGATATATATATATATATATATATATATATATATATATATATATATATATATATACAGTTTAAGTTTAAGAAGTTAGATTGCAATATTATAAGAAGAATGTACTTACCTCCAAACCTTCCTCAATTTCATTTTTCAAAGCAAATTCTAAACTTCTCTGTTTTTCTTCTAATACAGTCTTTGTCGTCTTACGTACAGATCTCCTCACTGGAAAGTATTCAGTCAATTTGTGATTTCCATTCTCCACAATTTTGGTTTCACTGCCGTTTGTGAACACTGTTCCATTTTTCAGTCTGAAAATTTCAATATTAGACCTAAGTAATACAAGTACCTATTTAAGAAATTATTATTATTTAATGCAATCAAGATGGTTTTTCTATAAGCTTCTACTGCGAATGTAGGAAGCCAGAGATATATACTACGATAATATATTCTGTTTTGTAGTTATGATAGCCCAGCGGGCAAAGCGCACTTACTCCACTGTGAGTCATCAAGTGCAGCTGATCACAGCCACTGGTCTGACCGAACACCAGTGGTCAGCGGAGAAATACTTCTATTCGCGAAAAAAATTTCGTTATCAAAAAAATAATAACTAAATTTTAATTTATAAAATGACGAACTCCAAATATCTTAAACTAACTTTAATTCTATGTAATTTATGATTATTACGGTACTGAAAAAAGGGCGCGAAAACCCTTTGCCCCCATTATTTCAAAATGGCTGATGGAGGACAAGGGTGATGACCCCACAAACCTGAATTAAACTTATACTAAACATCCCCATATCAAAAAAATTGCGTCCTCTCAAAAAGGTAATCTCTATGTAACTTTTGAATGGATTATATTTAAAAATAGAAAACTAATTGACAGAAATAAGCCAGTTGCCTGTAGAGCAAATCATATCACCTTTTCTTTGATTTTGGTACAGGTTCCAAAGGTTGAACAACTTTCTTTATATCATCTGAGCTCTCGGTTCTTAATTCGATTCTATGTGGAGTCGATGGTGAAGGAAGAATCTCTTGGCAGGTCATTTTCTGTCTTCTAGTTTGGACTATTGGTGTTGTGGGTTCAGTAGGTGTGGCTAAAATTAATAAAGACGAATTAACACTTTAGGGATCATTGATAGCTATATTTACAAGTATTGTTAGAAGTTATTTTTCTAACGTATAAGCAATAAGTCTTAGACCGTAAACACAAACAGTACTGTTATAAATGATTTTTGGTGGAATTAAATAAAACCACATAAACAAAAAAATTGTAATGCTCGTTGAGCAATAAGTATACCAGTGATCACTTGTGCAGGGAACATTAGTGTTTTTATAAAGTTTTTCATTGAAATATTTTATAATAAAAAGTTTAGTAGTGTAAAATATAGCGTACAAAAACGTTTTACCATAATAAAAACTAGTCATTATTTATTTTTAAAAGTTATTTCAATCTAGTCAACATTGCTAACACACCTACATAACCTATTTTTTCAAACTTAACAATTATGTTTCGTGAATAAAGAAACAAATTGAAAAATTGCATTTTTAAAATTGTAGTGTAAATTCTAGTCTTTCATATTTAAAGTGGGATATCTTTTGTAAAATTTTGCAAAAAGATGTTCTGGATGAATACTGAGAAAACCGTTTTTTTTTTTCGGTGAGCGAAAATACGAAAAGATACTGCAGCCCCCTTTACTGCAAAACAACTGGAAGAGTTTGTAAAAGGCCACGAAAATAGCAATGATAAAAAATATAATTTAAGCACAAATATTACTTCCAGTTCAAGATTAAATATTGCGTCAACATCAAACAAATATTACCAACAAATTCATTCACCTTTGGATTTCCCAGGTAGCGGTGATAAAGATTCTGATGATTCAATTTCGGATCCAGATTATTCTACTGAAGAGATGTGTACTAAGAAGGCAAAAACGTACATTTTCAGCGACTCATTGCCAGGAGTAAATAATAAAGACCATGTGGATGTTTCATCTTCCAAGAGGTTGGAATTAAAGCGGTACCAAACGATAGATCCAAGTTTAGACTATAGTTTATTTCATTTTAGTGAGAATTCAAAGCTAAAAGTCACTTTCCAGAAGATGGCACCCTCTTGGATGTATTCAGTGCTCCTTTCAATGATGAAATATGTGAAAAAACTGTGGAGGTATCATATATCTATGCAGTGCAGCTAGCAAAATCTTTAGATCTTACTAAGGAAGAACTAAATTTTTTTTTTTTGCATCACGGTAATTCTGGGCTTTTATACGTTATCTACGATAAAATCCTACGGATCAACTGACAGAAACCTTTTTTTACAAAGGGTCGCAGATATATTTACCGTGGAAAGGCTCTTTAAAGTTTTGAGGCTGTTACATATCAACAATAATTCAGAAATGCCTCAGAAAAGATACCTACGAGGTGTGTTATAAAAAATAGCCGGAATTTTCGTTTTTTGACAAAAATATTTATTCATTCTACATTAATGTTGACTCCTTCAAAATAGTCCCCATCAGATATTATGCGCTTGTGCCAATTCTGCCAATCCTTGAAACACTTCTCAAACTCGTACTTTGCGATAGCCTTTAGTTCTATCAGCAATGCGCTTTTAATGTCATCTACGCTTGTGAAACGATGGCCCTTTAAAGTTTTATTTATTTATTTTTGTAAATAGGAACAAGTGACACGGAGCCATGTCTGGCGAATATGGAGCCTGGGGCATAATTACAGTATTTTTTTCATCAAAAATTCATGAACAAGCAATGAAGTGTAAGCTGGTGCAGTTGAACGTGTGATAGTACTGTTTATGTGTTTATTGACTTGACCGCACTTGTCGAGTCTTTGGTCTTGGCGAACCAGAATGACTCCACTAGGACCATTGAACCTTAGTTTCGACGGCATATTCATAAACCCACGTTTCGTCACCTGTTATAACCCTTTTGAGTAAATCTGGGTCGTCGTTTACGTCATTTAGTGACTCCTGAGCAACTTCCATTCGCCGCTGTTTTTCTTCAAAATTCAACAATTTTGGAACAAATTTTGCTGACACGCGTTTCAAACCCAAAAAGTTTTGAAAATATGTCATAGCATGAGCCAATTGATATGCCAACTTTGTCAGGGACTTCAACGTCTACAGGGCCATGTTAGAAGCGCTTATACCACTCCTAAACACTTGTTTTTTTCGTATCATGTTTACCACAGGCATTTGTTAAAAATTAACACACTTTGCAACACTTTTATTTTTTACGCAATATTTAATACAAATTATCTGATCCATTTTTTGAAATAAGTGAAAATTGATGAAAAGATAATAAAAACCGTCGAACCTTACACAGAAAAGGTAAACAATGAATATAGCTGTAATTTCTTTATACTTTAGGAGCATGTATACAAACATAAAAAAAATTCTCGATAGGACTCACCAAACACGCGAAATTTAAAAATTCCGGGTATTTTTTAACACACCTCGTATGATTTATAAGTTATAAAATTCGAGCTCTCATATAACGCACTTTAAAAGAAAATGTTCTCAATCAGACACACCATAGAGAAATCTGTCAATTGACGAAAGTATGATCCCGTTCAGAAGTAGAACGTAAGAAGTAGTATGTCAATGAAGCCAGTGAAGTCAGGAATAAAAATACGGGGAATTGTCTGTACAAAATCTCATTCATTTCGAGATCTATTAAGGCAAAACTAACATAGTTGTTTAAGAGATGCTTGGAGAACAAGTTATCGCAAAACTAAGAGCAGTTTCAAAATCGCGGATATTGTCTTTACTTTGAAAATTTGTTTTCTACATTTACAATCCTCAATAAGCTCTCAAAAAACATATGCTGCCTTGTGGCACATTCAGAACAGCTAGAAACTATTTCCCAAGACACCATTTAGCTGATGACAAAAAAATTAAAATGAGAGACTGGTTCTGAAGTTAAGAAGAAATTTAGGGTAGAACCAGTTCAAATTAATATAAGTTGTCAAATTGAGTGCTTATTACTAAAAGTCAAACTTAAACTGTATTTTTCTATTCATGTCTTACATATTTGCCTCCTAATACATGTGACGATGATTATGCAAAGTTTTTATCTAGTTTTGATGATATTTTGAGTACTAATGTAAATTTTTTGTTGTTGGGTGATTTTAATTTTCCTTTTTATGGTAATAGGGGCGGTGCAAAATGTGATTTGTTAACCAATTTTATTGAAATTCAGAATCTTACCCAACACAACTCAGTGTATAATCACGTGCAAAGAAGGTTGGATTTAGTATTTTCAAACAAGAATGTCAACAATTTAATTAAATGCAATGTAACACTTATTAATGTGGACATATATCATCCTTGTCTTGATTTTATGGTCACATTTAATTTTTTAGTTTCAACCGAGAATTGAATAAAAATTCGTTTTTCTATGACTATGCTACATTCTTCCAGTGTTACTATATGGAGTTGAAGCCTAGACACCGACGCAAGCCACAAAAAAGCGGATTGAAGCCTTCGAGATGTGGATCTACATCTCGAAGAGAAAAATATCGTATATGGACCATGTCACCAACGTTGAGGTCCTACGGTGCATGAGAAAAGAAAAAAAAGCGCTTAATTTAGTGAAACAACGTAAGCTTGAGTACCTCGGGCACGTGATGCGGAATGAAGAAAAATATCGAATTCTTCAACTCGTTATAAAAAACCTCCGACAATGGTTTGGGATGAACTCTGCGTAGCTGTTTCACAGAGTAGTCAACAATATGGTAGCCTTGATGATCGCCAACATCCGGACCGGATAAAGCACTGAAGAAGAATAAAGTCACTATGCAAAGGGCGATTTTCACCTTTTATATGACCTTATTCAAGATATGGACTGGACAGAGCTGGAGGGGTGTTTGGATGTGGATGTATGTATGCAGTGGTTTTTCAAAAGTTTTATGCATGCATTTTTATGCATTGCCGGTATAAGCAATCCCCCACTTATGACCAACGGCTGCGGGCAGATGAGTTAATAAGTGGAAGGGCACTCTTTTGTCCAAGGGTTGGGAAACTGGTCCTAAAGGCGGATGAATCGAAAAATATGTCAACGGCGTAAGGATGCAGAAGGCAACGGGGAACCACTCATTAAAGACTCTTAGAGTACCCCTAGTAAAGTCATGAATGGCAAATGACAAGTAGAGTAAACAAACTTACTGATTATGGAGCACGGAATCCAAGATCCGGCAGGGGAGGAATAACTGTAGATCACAGGGCCTCCCAGGTCGTAAACCAGAGAACCTGTGGACTTAAGACTTAAGATTGATGTTTTAGGTATAAGTGACGTACAGTGGCCAGGTTCAGGCAAACAAATTACAAATAATGAAACCATGTATTATTCAGGTAACAACGAGGTCAATCATCACTATGGTGTTATAAGTTTTACTCCTTATTCTGATAGGATCTTATCAATACAACTACAGTCTAAAAAAGGTATAGTAAATTTTATTCAAGTTTATGCTCCTACGGCAGATAAAGATGACGACGATATCGAACTGTTTTATTATGATTTGGAACAAGTCTTAAAATCAATGAAGAAACATCACACTACAATAGTAATGGGCGACTTCAATGCCAAAGTTGTCCAGGGAAGAGTGGATGGATATGTGGGGGAATATGGTCTAGGAAATAGAAATGAACGTGGTGACCGTTTGATACAATTTTGTCAGACCGAAGAATTTGTAATAGCTAATACACTTTTTAAGCTACCAAAAAGAAGATTGTATACATGGAAATCTCCCGGTGATACAACGAATAGATTAATCCGAAATCAAATTGACTTTGTCCTTATTAGACAAAGATTTCGTAATTCTATACTGTCTGCCAAAACTTACCCTGTAGCAGACATCGGTTCAGACCATAACCCCATAGTAGTCACATTACTAACCAAATTAAAACTTGTTAAAAAACCCACACAAAGTAGAATTGATATTAAGAGATTAAGGGAATCACAAACAAAGGAACAAACTGTAAAAACTCTTACTGAAAATCTACGTAATGCAAAAGAACTGAATAAAAGTAGCTATAACATTGATCAGAAATGGGAAAATATAAAAGTAGCAATAATTAAAACAGCAAATGAAAACTTAAAACCAAAGAATAGAAAACATAAAGATTGGATTACTGAAGAAATACTACTATTAATGAATGAAAGAAAATCATTCAAAACAAAAAATCCAATTAAATATAATGAAACTGATCGATTAATAAAAAAGAGAATAAAAGAAGCTAAGGAGAGAATGTTACATGAGCAGTGCCAAGAACTAGAAGAAATTGAGAAAAAATATGACTTTTTTAACATGCATAAAAGAATTAGAGAATTGACAAAAATGAGAAAAACACTTCAAACTAGGTAACTAAAAGATGAAAGGGGTGCACTTATAACAGATATAAACCAAAAAATGCAGAGATGGACACAATATATAGCACAACTTTTTGAAGACAAAGAGAGAACAGAAGCACCAAAAGAATTTAAACATGATACTGGGCCTGACATTATACGAGAAGAAATTGAATATGCAATGAAACAAGCTAAAGGTGGTAAATCTCCCGGGCCTGATGAAGTTCCTATCGAATTACTTAAAATTGTGAATACTGAATCTATTGATCTTCTTTTGGATCTATTCAATACCATATATAGAACAAGATAAAGAATCTCTCCAATCAACATTCATACTGCTTCCCAAAAAAGCCAATGCAAAGGAGTGCAATGAACATCGCACCATAGCTTTAATGAGTCATGTCTTGAAATTGTTTTTAAAAGTAATTCACAATAGAATACATAAGAAATTAGATGAAGGCATAAGTAATACACAAATGGGATTTAGGAAAGGACTGAGAACACGAGATGCACTGTTTGCAGTAAGTGTTCTTTCGCAGAGATGCTTAGATATTAATCAGGAAGTATATGCCTGTTTCATTGATTTTGAAAAGGCATTTGACAGAGTAAAGCATAATCGACTTAAAGAAATTTTATTAAATAAAAACATAGACAGTAGAGACATTAGAATCATCTGTAACCTCTATTGGAATCAAACATCAAAAGTGAAAGTTGAAAACGAACTGACCAAGGATATCCAGATTCGCCGTGGGGTCCGCCAAGGGTGTATTTTATCACCCTTGTTATTCAATTTATACAGTGAAGCCATCTCAGAATTAGCGCTTGCCGAGATCAGT